TTTTTTTTCTTATTATTCTCATGTCTTTCACTCTCCACCCATCAGCCACGAATTGGGACCGATGGCGAGTAGTGCAACTAGGCCGACAACGTCCATAGCATTTTGTACGCCCAGCCTCCAGGCTCTTTTCCAAACAGGAGGAGGGTCCGTGGGATCCTACGTCCACGAAAGTACTTGTGCAGGCTGGGAACTATACAAAAATAGAAAGTCAATTTCCACGGTATATCTGACAAATGTCCAAGCCATTTTGCAGGCCGATAATGGACAGTAAGTGGAGCGACGTCCCACTTCCCACTTTCCATTTTCGTACTGTGGACAATAGTGGAGCGAGGCCCATAGATTTCCAGTTCGGGCCATGAATGCCGTCTTGAGGTCTTGGGCGTGGTGCACATCACACTGCTATACCTTTTCAAATGGGACAAGGTCACGCCCATCTGGAGAAATGGGGATTTTTTTTTTTTTTTTTCAAAAAGCTATACTCTTTTCTCAATTTCACCTCACACTACCTACCTACCACTACTCCTAAATGGGGCTAATACACATTTCGTTAAAAGTGAACCTTTTGATTGTTCACTTTTTGTAACAAAGCCGAAATTCATGTTGGAGTGACATAAGTTGGCAATATGAACTGAGGAGCGACAAAAATAAGAATAAATCGAAACAATCATTGCTAAGTGTTGCTAAGTGGGCACTGATATGGGTCAACCACCATCGCTTGGAGTAGTCGACCCATCAACCTCCGACTTGTTACTGAGCCTATGACATTTACTGAGTCGACCGTTAGCGCCCCCCGCAACCCCCCCCCCCCCCCCCCCCCCCACCCGCCGTCCCGCCGCCGGTGGGGCTCGGCTAACGCAAAGACCGAGCATTTTGCCAGCAGCTAGGTGCGCCTCCCATTCTCATCGTCCCCCCCCCCCCCCCAACCCCAACCCCAACCACCCCAGCACACCAACGNAGCACACCAACGGTGACCAACCCCCTTAAAATCACTGTGACATCGAATTTTTCCCTTGTTGGTTGTTTCCCAGGTAGCCTTTTGGAGCGCCCGTTCTGCAACTCAGAATAAACTCCAGGTTTGTTCGAGTGCTCCTATGCTTCTAAAAATATTTCTCAGTCGGACGCTGGTCCTGGGCCTGGATTCGAGGTCATAGTCCAGGACATCCCAGGTCCTAGACTGTGCGTGGAAGGGATTACCCCCCGCACAGAGCCTACTTACCCTGCCCACCGAGACACACGGCCTAAAAGCTTGAGGTGTCGCAGGGGCCGCACGGCTATTCCTTCAGCCGTGCAATATCGTGAAGGGGTTGACCCTCACGATACTTCGAGATTGACACTTGAGTGTCATGCGTGGTAATCGGATCCACGAGGGGCCGCTTGATTATAGGCACTAGATAGTACGCCATCATTCCGACCGCTTGCGTACACATGCATTGCGAGTCGATATGAGATAGCCCTACGCCCGCGCGGTTTTATAGTAAGTCAAGCGAGTGTCGCCTATCCAATTTCCGCGTCGGAAAGTTATGGGATGGCTACTGAAGGGACTACGAGTGTTTTCGCGTCATTGTTATGTTGTTTTGAGTCATTTCGTGTGTGTGTGTTTGTGTTTTATTTTTATGTTCGTACTGTGGTGTACGCGCAGTGAGCAAGATACGTCCTAGTCGACCGACGTCGAATCTCGCCTCGGACTTCAGCCCCCCCCTAATGCGCCGGTTCGCGTGCAGATCCGATAGAGGCGTGAGACCGCGCGTACGCCCTATGCTACAGCGAACGAGAAATGCTCTCGGCTGGTTCACCTCTGCGATTGCAACTGATTAGCTTTCGTACTTTAGACTGGTAGCTCGGCACAGATACGCCCACATAAGGGAGGTGACAACTCCCGTAAGGTGGAGCTAAGTCGCGCCTCGCGTAGGCCCTATTCTGTCGTAGGGGCTCGCGAGATGTATGGCTTGCGCACTCGGCCAGAGCGGCTTGCGGAAGTTCCATATGTATTCGTGAGAAGGATTAAGACCAACTCCTGCGTGACGCGGTCGGGAGGGTCTCGCGTTGCTTCGTGCGGTGGCGGACCGATGCGCTCGACAGCGTCACAGACCCCAAAAATTGGATGCTCTAAACGGGTCATTAATTTCAGCTAGCAAAGGCAGAGGACGGAATCTTAAACTACGAATTAATTCCCAAATGTTTTCGCACACTTAGTCGTTGAAAGAGGCGAGTAGGGGCTGTAAGCGGGATAGAAATGCCACACACAGAGTCATTGGAAGAGATCATGAGGCGTTGTAAGTGGGATAGTAATGATTGTCAGCAAAGCTGAAGGAGAACGCAATTCCAAACTCGAAAAAATTCCTTATAAAAGACTTTGAGGACCTTGCCCGCACCGAGCCTGACAAATGTGATGCATCGTACAGTTCCCACTCGCGCAGATGTGAATCTTAGCAATTTTGCTGCATTTTTATCTGTCAATACGGAAGTTGAGCGCGAAATGAAATCAATGCGCAGGGGTAAGGTGTCACATATTTTCAAGATCTAGCATCCGACGCAACATAAAGGCGAGTGAAAACTCACACTAAAAGCGCCAACGGTTATTAACAGGCATCATCGCATTAGATGAGATTGCAACTTTATTCGCTCACCCATGGCATACCCGTTATCGACCCCTTTTAGCAAAAAGGTTTGGGCATCGGCAATCGCAACAGCGACAACAATGACTGCACATAAAAAGTTTTTGCAACCCTTATAGCGATACGTTAAGGTATCGTGCACCCCTTTTACCAATATGTAAAGGCATCGGAGATCGCAAAAGACTAAAAGCGACCACGTCTACTGATGCTTTGATGGTTCGATAATGGATGTGAAGGTAACGCCACCTTTATTGCGAAGGTGCGACAAAGGTTACTTTTGAATTTAAAAGCGGTAGTCGTAAGAGGTGACTACGCGTTCTAAGCGAGTCATAAAATCCCTTCAGTTAAGGTAAAGGAGGGAATCTTAAACTACGAATTAATTCGCAATCATCCTTTCGCATAAGTGAGGTGTTGAAAAAAGTGAGGAGGCACTTCAAACCACCACTCCCTCCGACAACAGGAAATAGCCCCCCCTGTGAGTTCTAGCGGGGTCTTAGAGATGGCGACGACCGGAGGCGGAAACACGTGGGGGGGGGGCGGGGGAGGGAGGGAGAGAGAGAGAGAGAGAGAGAGAGAGAGAGAGAGAGAGAGAGAGAGAGAGAGAGAGAGAGAGAG